TAGTATATTTTTTTAGAATTATAATTACAAATACATAACATACACATATTTAGAATTATAATTCTATATTTTAAAAATTATTTTTTTTATTTGAAACAAAATATTATTTAAATTTTCAATCTAATAATTGTTAGTTATTTTGAAATTAATATTACAGATAAAATAAATATATTTAAAAACTAATTAGAAATTAAAAAACATATTTAGAAATATATTTAAACCTTATACAAATAATCAGAATAATCACATAATATAAATTTTATTATCTTATTTTAAGATTTCATTTTATTGCAAGTTAACAGTAAAAAAATTACATTGTTTATATTCATAAAATAAGTTAAAGTTTTAAATCTGTTTATAATAGATATGAATTAATAACAATAATTTAAAGTTTTATATATGTTATAACAACAACAACGTGCCACATCGCTCGGGGTCCAGTGCATCCAGGTGGTGTGGCACGTCCGAATTTGCCTCCAGACGATACGGACACCGCACGCAATAATCTCTCCCTCAAGAGAGGGCCTCTCATGGCTAGCCAAGTCCACCCACCTCCTTGATATGTTCAAATGATCAGGATTAAAAATTTTACATAAATTATCATATTAACTTATTTTCCATCCTCAAAGAGTCAAAGTTGATCATTAACTTTATGCCCATCTTGCATTTGGCTTTCCAATAAACAGTCCTGTGACTAGAGACCCAATATTAATGTGACCTGCGACAATAGAACGTCACCTTCTTCCCCCAGTAAACAAAAGATGAAGGAAACAGCTCAATAATGTGTTAGGTTTCATTGCCTCAATACTGCAAATGGTGGCAAAGCAAGGAGCCCATGATGCCTACACCCATTCAATCATTAAAGCAACACATGCCATCCTATTCAATACCCCCAAACCCTCTCTCTCTCAAGAAATTATTCTGTGCAGAGACCGGACGCAGAGCGCTGTCCGGAGACCAACCAAATCGTGTCACGTCAGCAGTACTGAGCCGGGTACCGAGCACAGTGCAACGTGGCGCATTCTGATTGGTCTCCGGACGACCTTCTGCGTGAGAATAGTTAATCCTCTCTCTTATATATTCCCCAAGGCCCAAGTATTTTGCCTTCATAATAAAAATCCAACCATAAAAAGTGCCCTCCCCCACTTCATCTAGAAAACGAAAGGGAACCAAATTAAGATTCCAAAGAGCAATCCAATCCAACCACTTCAAGGGAAGTTTCTGAAAGGATGGATATATCATTCTATCATGTTATTGAATATCTTAGAGATATATGTGTGCATGATTTTTTGTATTTTGGTATAGTGGATGATTTATTCTTGTCCTTAAGAATCACGGCATCATATAGATCGACATCATAAGCACTTCAATTATTTCATTTTTTTGGGAATATTTATACTTTCTATTTTTGCCATCATAATTTTTTTGAAGATGTCTATTAAAAACAATAACTTTTTTCCTTCAAATAATCATTATTTTTTTAATATTTTTACTTCCATAAAAATAAATAAAAATTACCTCAAATAAAAAAAAATCTTTTTTGTAATATTGAATAATAAAATTCTCATATCTATTATATTATGATAGATTTGATTATAAAAAATATTCCCATCATATTTTTTTTTTAAATAATAATAAATTTGAAATTGAAATTCTTGTTTGATTCTTATTTTCTTTTTCTATTTTCTTGAACACTTTTAAATTATTTAAAATATTAGGAGGATTTATTTACATGATATACATATTTATATATCAATATTTAAAAATTTGTATTTATTTATATATTATATATATGTAAATCATATTAAAATACTTGAATAAAATTTGTATTTTAGTTTAAATAGATTAATATTAATGATATTTTAAATATTTAAAGTATTATATATATAAATTAAAAAATGAATATTAGATATGTAAATATGTAAATACCTTAAAAATTTATGTGATAGATATATATGAAAATCTAAAAAAAAATAATTTGCATGCAAACAAATTTTTGCTATCATTTTTATAAGCACATTGGACGCCTTATTAACTATATCATTCTTCTACATGCAACACTCATAAATATTTTTGTGTTGACACAATACAACAAAAGCATAGCGCATAAACAATAGCCTTACACTTCTTTCGGTTATAATTATATTATATTGTAATAAATTACTAAAATCAAACATCCAAAATGTCCTTTGTATAGATGCGTCACTCTATTGATTTATTATTTATGATTGTTATTTCATGAAAATGATGTTATAATTATTTGACCGATGATTGTATGCATCATCATATAAATTAAGATATTATTTATTGATTTACCCTTGACGTCCTATCAAAAATCGTCTTGATCAGTTAGATAGACACTACAGTCCTGAAACATTTGTCACACGCTGACTACAATCTTTGAACTGTAGTCGCTCTATTAAGGTCCTTGAACTACCGTTGCTCGATTGTTATCTTTCAACCTCTATCATTGGGTGACTAGGGTTTACAATCATTATAACCAAATTATAATATTCGGGTCACTACCGCCTAACTACTCTCTATAGGCCACATTCGTCGGAAAATCATTTTAATTGAACCAGACATTACTGGTTTTCACTTTTCTAGGATTTCAAGTAAAAATTGTACTGTCTATTATAATTATTGCATTCTCTTTTATCTTTGTGTGCTGGAACTTCATGAAAATTTAAGACATTAAACTCAATATTTTTCTATTGCTTCCCATATGCAGCAATTAACCCTTAAAAGCCCATGAATTATTTAATATATTACTAGAACATTTGAAATCATAAATATATCACTATAATATATTAACATTTATAATGATGTACATTATTTTAGCATGTATTGAACATAACATAACTCCACCACCAATGCCATCCTTAGCTGAAACCCCATCCCTCTTCTCCCTCCTTCGTCACTCCGGCGACGAAAACCACAACAAGCATACTCCGTCAAAGTCCTTCCGCTCTACCGCCTCTGGCGGCGGCGGCGGCGGCATCTTTCGAATGTTCAAACTCCTCCCCGCTCTCTCCTCCGGCTGCAAGATGGTAGCTCTCCTCAACCGCTCCTCAAGCAAAAACAACTTCCTTGCCGACCACGCCACCACCATAACCCTCTTCGGCCACCGAAAGGGAAGAGTCACCCTCGCCATCCACGACGACACTCGATCTCCTCCCATTTTCCTCATAGAACTTCCCATCCTTACAAGCTCTTTTCACAAGGAAATGGCTTCTGGAGTCGTTAAGCTTGCTTTGGAGAGCGAGACGAGGACGCAGAGGAAAAAGCTCATGGAAGAATATGTTTGGGCTGTTTTCTGCAACGGCCGTAAGTCTGGATACTCGATTCGGAGAAAGCATTCCCAGGCTTCCGATGACGAACAACAGGTGATTCAACTTAACAATCAAAAAGAAAAACTTCCATCAAAGTTTAAATTTTTATGACTGAATATCTGAAAATTCTGTATTTTTTTTTATTTTTTTGTTCTGCGGCAGGTAATGCAGTTGCTGCGCGGCGTTTCAATGGGGGCCGGAGTGGTGCCGTGCGAGGTTGGGCTGGACGGGGAGATGACGTACATGCGGGCCAGGTTTGAGAGGGTGGTGGGGTCCAAGGATTCGGTTGCCTTGTACATGATTAACCCGGATGGGACGGGCGGGCCGGAGTTGAGTGTGTTTCTGGTCCGGGTCAAATAATATAAAAAGAAATTTTGAAAATATTTGTATTATTAGTCGATATTAATGCATTCACATGATGTAATTTTATGATAAAGATAGATGAATAATACTAATTAGGCGTGTTCTTTTTGGTGATTTTGATTTGGATTCTTTTATATTTTTATTTATTTATTAGCTTAGTTTGGGGCGGCTTTCTTACTGTTAAAGCGATTTTTAGTATATTAAATTTTATTTTAAGAAACGGTAAAAAAATCAATCAAAATGAAGTCGATAACTTTTTTGCTGCTTCTTAAAGCAGTTTTTTAGTATAAAAATTAAATTTTTTATACTACTAAAAAAATGTTTTAAGAAGCAACAAAAAAATCATCCCAAATGAAATCTTAGTCTACATTAATTTAATTAAGATTTTTTTATTAAAAATTATTTTAAAATAATAAAAAAGCTGTCCAAAAAGATGCTTTTGACAATCTATATATAATAGATTAGTAATGAAACAAAGATGAAGTCATTATTATTTATTTATGTTTTCCTTCATCATCAAATTTGTCAACTTTAAAATAAACATAGGCTAGCTCTTTATTAAGTGCTAGATAGACTAGCCTTTCATCATACTTGTTTATTACTGCTCGCGTTATCAATTTATGAATACTTCATTTGATCTAGCTATGAACTGTTATTGAAATAGTTTTTACATAATTTACATAAAAATGGGAGAATATTATTGAATGATATAAAAATCTCATTCACTAAGATTGCAAGATCATATTTTGCAATTATTTGTGTTATATAAATTAATTTCTATTATGATTTATGGTTTAATAAAATTTTATTCCATCTCCAACTTCACACAATATATATTCTTACTACTCTCTTTAAGTAAGAGTATAAATTTTATAAGATCCCTAAGGGCCATATTTATTGGAAGCATTAATCATTTATTATGTTTCCTAGTAAATGCCAACCAATTTGTTTGTTCTTTTTGTTCAGTTTCAAATAGTACAAATATATATACTTGCAATGCTTTTAGGGCATCTTCAATCGAATCCCATCACATGTGTATAACGTCGTTCGGTCGCTCCATATGAACGTCAAATATTTTGCTATTTGCTTGTGGGTGAACGCTAATATCAGCGTCGCATTGTTCACCTGTTATATGGTTTTTTTTTTTAATTCGAAAAAGTGGTTATTAATTTTAAAATTTTAAGTATGAGGAAGAATATAATTTGAATATATTCTTTTTGGTGTTCGAAAATAGAGTTCGGTTGAAGACAAATTATTGCATATTGGTGTATTACTGTATTTTGGAGTGAAAAATGAGTTTTTTTTGTTGGAGCTACCCTTAAGGGTATTATCATCTAAATATTAATTTTGAAAGATTTTTTTTTTATCAAATAACAAAACTAAAAATATATTAATCCAAATAGCTTCATTATAAGAGATATAACTAAAAAAAAACCATTTGTATGTACATGCTTTATATTGTAAAAAAAAAAAACCCCTCAAAAATATTTGTATTATGTTAAGTAACAGAGCCCTACATTGGGTGCCCATACCACCCACGTACTCACCCATACCCAATGGGCATGGGTGGGTATGGGTACGCTTATGACCTCGTGGGTGGGTACTCAACATCAGATGACAAATTAATTTACATTACTAATTACCATATGCATGCAGTATATTACAGTAATTCTTACTACGTAGTGCGTAACACTGAATCGCATTGTGACCTAGATAAATTTTGATATGTGGCTTGAAAATTTGCAGTTAAAGAAATGACAAAAAACTCAAGGCCATTAATCCATGGCGTACTGCATTCAAGAAGCGTGAAAAGTGGGTGGGCGTGAGTGGGTATGACATATCGAAAGTCACCATAGGTGGACAAAGCCCGCAAGTGCAGAGCGTGGGTACCCAATGGGTACCCAACCAGTACCCCGTGTAGAGCTCTGTTAAGTAATCAATTTATTTCTAAATATTATTTTTTTATTTGATATATATTGCGTAGCATGTTAAATTAATAATATTAAGACATGAATATTAAATAGTACAAATATCATATTAAATTTATTTTTTTCTCATAAAAATATTAAAATAAGAAATGAAGGCATATGAAATTTAATCTATAAATTATTAGGTTATAGCAAAAAAATCATCATATACCAAGAAATGAACATTAAAAAGATAGCATAGATAAACATAAACTAATATTTATTGATATTTACAGTAATAAATGATTCATTTTAAGAATTTTAGGCAGGAAAAAAGGGTGTAGATATATAAGATTTAGTGATTTATTAAAAAAAAAAGGGAAAATCGAGGATTTTTTTTTTTTTTACAAAATTAAAATCAATAAAGGGTTTGCGTGAATAAGCCGCAGCTATCAGGTTGCGATCGTGGAACGCCGAGGTTACTCTACACTTTGGGTGGGGCGCTCGTGGGTCACTGCGCAGGTCTGCAGCAAACATCCGTCTTTGGATCAAGCGATCAAAACAATTTGGCCTCACATCCTCTTCAAATCCCTCGTTCCAATCCATTGTACCTTCAATTCATTGCTGGAAGATGGCTGCCGCAGGCGATTGCAACGGATCAACTGCGAACTTCACAGAGGTCGTCCTTGTCCGTCACGGGGAGACATCGTGGAATGCATCTCGAATCCTACAGGTTTTTCCCTCTCAGCTGTTTTCCGCGAATCCATTTTCAGTTTCTTTGTTATTTGATTAGAAATGTTTGAAGAACAATGGAAAATGTAGTTCATGGGAAATATCCACGAAAAGGCAAACCAGAATTAAGAAAATAGTATGGATTTTTTTTTTGTCTGATGATTGCAATATGTTCTAGTTTTGGTTTGTGGGTTGAGTAGTTTTTCCGCTTCTTTGATTGACTTGGAACGTGGAAGGTTATTTTTTATGCACATGGTTCCTATTTGTTATTGCTTTACCTAAAATTCTGCTGGATTAATTGCTTGGGAAGAAAAACCGATGACTAATAATGGTGATAGCAATAATGTTTGTTTGACAAATTGGCTTTTCCTTTTTGAGGTTGTTTGGAAAAGAGAACTGTACTATGGATGAATTGTGCCAACATCGATGTTCGTTAAGGTGTCTCTCTCTACTATGGTGGTGGCGGACAGGCGATGGTGCTTAGTGGTGGATTCTGTTTTCCGAGAGGATTTTGTTTAGTTACTTTTAGAGATTATGGACAAGGTAGCTTATGACCACCCAGTGTAGTATGAGCTGGCCACCTGTTAGCACATGAAGCTTGGCTTCTTGACCTCAAAGATAGATGAGACTAGAGTGAGATCTTTTGAAGTATTTTCTTGCTATGCTATTCATGGGCCGTTACATTGTCTTATAAGTGATATGTAAATATGTGTTGGTGGTGAAAATGGTGATATCGGACTAAATCCCAATATAGGAGTGCTAGGATATAGGAATAATAGATTAGGATGAAATGATCTAACTCTTGAGGTAGAGCTTTATGTTAATTTCAAATAGGTCATCCTTTAATGGTTGTGGACTTAATAATACTGCTAAAAAGTGAATTACAAATATCATGGAATTAGAAATATATTTAGTTAGTGAATTACTTTCAAAATGAAAATTGAAGTTGAACTAATAGCCATATATACTTAAAAAGTGAATTACAAAATCAGAGAAATAGGGTAAAACTTAATTAAAAAGAGTTGCAACCTTTAGATGATTTTTATTCTTTGGCTTTTGTTTTTCAAACTAGTTATGAAATTATATGTTTAAGGTTACCTCTGAAAATTTATGATCCATTAAGATAATGATCAAAAAGAAATTTAGTTTAGTAATTGCCCAATTGAATTTACTCTTCTCTAATTATAATTAATGAATTAGCTAAAATTGCAAATCAAGTAGGCAGCAAACACGTACACCAAATATTTAGTTGATTAAGATTAATAATACTGCTAGAAATTTCATTATATTGCTTTATAGTATTCTATTTTTTTATAATTCCAACATTAATATATGTGTTGTGTCATATATAATATTTTTGATGCAGTCTTGTAGATATTATGAAAAATGAAATTAATCTACTAAATGATTTGAATAGATTCTGAAAGATGATTTCGGTGGTTCTCCTCACGCATGGTCATGTCCATAATAAATATGTATATGAAGTTTGAGACTATATTGGTCTGATATACTTTTCTAGTATCTAGTAAGAAAAAGAAATTGAAAACAAAAGATCTTTACATGCATGCTGAGTAAAAACACAAGATTATGAAGGCCACACCATATCTTAAAAAAAATATAAATTGCATAAATTTATTATGAATCTTGTCTCATATTGAATAATTTATTTCTTCATCGAGGCTTCAATATATTCAATTATTTTATATTGATAATGATTATAAAATATATTTATTGTACTGAAAAGCAATAGTGATAAGCTTAATGCTTATGCATAGGACTTAATACATTACATGAACCATAATATAAGGCCCAAAATAAAATTCATTACATAGACCCAACAACATAAGAGTTTAACAAAAGAAAAATACAACCAAAATGTCCTAAGAAAAGAGATATAACTCTATGACCACAACTATGCCAATGATAGATGAGATGCCTCATATAAAAAGACAATACCAGCAAGTGATCGATCCATTCTTATTAGATTCACCCCCAAATCCCAAAATAACAACTATTATTATGATCTTATCACAAAAAAAATGATTTACAATAGGATAACCAAAAAATAAAACATAAGCTAATGAACTTTGAGCCAAAAAAAAAAAAAAAATCTAAAAATGTAAGTTAGTTCTTAGCAGATTAGAATTAGATGTGTATCATCCTCTTTAGTTAGCAAACAATAATATAGTATATTGCATCTAATAGTATTTAAATTAATCCCTATATATAAACAATCCATTGTCAAAGTCAAAACATCGACGACTTTATCTAAATGATATAAAAAATTCAAACAACTGGGTATAAGGATATTGAACAAGGCTACTCTCATTAAATCTTGATTACATTTTTTTACATGTTTACTTAGATGATATTACTAGTGGAGGCCACAACTAGAATTGAAATTGACAAATCCTACTTAAATAATATCGAACTTCAATATTACTTTGACAAATATTGACAAATATGCAAAGGCAATTATACCTTTTTTAAGAGGAAAAGGTACAACATATAAATTAAGCAGTTTAACGATAGAATAATTTTGTTATAATAAAAGAGTATATGCATTTATGTGCATTTATTTGAAAAATAATTGTATAAAAATACAAGTAAAATGTAATAGAAATTAGGAGAAAAGTATGTCTAAAAAAATAAATAAGAAAATAAAAATGACATTTGAAAGAGTTTTATGCTCAACTAGTTGGCTTATGATTCCAAATTAATCTCATCTTTCATTTATTTCTATTATAATATTTTTGGAGAAGTCTATATATACTATCATACTTTGTGTATAATTAAATAATAAAATTCAAAATAGTTTTTCTACTTTTCTGCATGGTATTGGAGTGAGATTATGGATTTTTTCTTTCAACCATTGTTCTCTTTTATTCTTTTTAGGTTTCTTCTTTCTCTTCATTATGTCTATTTTTTTTTACGTCCCTTTCAAAAAGTCAACCATCAAGAATAATGAAAGTAAGACTAAGTGAGAACTCTAGAGGCTACACATCTCATATTGATTGAATGAGGGAAACTATGTAAAGTGGTCCAAATTGTGAAGACCTTTTTGAAAAGAAAAGGAAATATAATCACATTGTGGATACTTCTTCAAAGTCGAATGACCTAAAAATTTGTACTTTGAGATAAAGCGAATTCCATGAACATAACATAGTTATGGAATACCATGATGTATGTGGGTCTCTGAAAGGATTCTGCTCATGGGGTTCGAATGCAAATAGTACGACCACACTATCCCGTAGGATAAAATAATCGTAGGCCTTTACACTCGACACAAGCAGGCCGATGGAAGAGCAGATGAAGTTATACATACGATTAGTCGTGGATGATAACGAATTTCACATACCAACCTCGATGGATAATAATATATATAACCCAAAAGTCACGAGATTTCCCCCATTCGATATATCAGCTCGAATGAGGTTTATTTGATTGTGGGGATCGGTTTCCTACGGGCGCAAGCACCCGTAGTTAATTAAATCCTAGGCCTTGACCTAGAAAAACTCTCGATTAAGAACGATGTATTATTCACTTCTTAATTTGGTGCACATAAAAAGTTTCAAAGTTCTATTCCAAAGAGTCTCTTCTATTTATCTTTAATGATAATTAGACCTTTTTGAATGGATAAAGATATGATTAAAATTTTGAGTGTAGAAGATCAAAGATTGGATTACTATCCTAAGAGAAATGACAGACTCAAAACACACCAGAAGTGAAAAGACGCACTGAGGGTGTACAATTTGGGCTTATGCTTGCCTGGAGTGAGCTATCAGCTAACATCCTAAACACAATCAATCGCCATACATGTATACAAGATAGGGGGTTCTATCCTAAGAAATCAAGAATGTGTAGTTCAAAAGGTTTCAATCAAAGACTCTACAATATGCAAAAGAATGTACCTAGCGCCATATATGATGCATGAAACAGATATGAAATATTCCTAGGTCTACTGATGTAATGCATGCATATGAATAAGGTGCACTGTGAAAAAAAAGTGTGTAAAAATGCATGCATGACATCCAGAGTACAGAAAAAATAAATAAACACACCAGATACCCTCCAGGAAAGGTATATATATCACATCATAATAGAAAAATCATCCTAACTGTGCCCAGTTCGTGTGGAAAAATAACGATGCCCATGGCACAATAGGTGGTATACTCTACAGGCCTAAATGATCCTAGTGGTCTCTAGGGCTCACAGAAGGTAGGGGGGGTATCATACCCAAAACCAGAAAAAGGCCAAAATTCTAGCAATGCTCATTTCGTGTGGGAAAACAACGATGCCCAATGGCACAAATGGGTGACCTACTCTACAGGCCTAAATGACCCTAATGGTCTCTAGGGCTCACAGAAGGGGGGCAAGCTTTGACCTATAGGGCCAAAGCTTCGTTAGTGCACTAACATATGGCTGACTACCTAAACATGCTAGAATAGCTATTAGCAATATGTGTGTGATGTGTAGCAATTCCGATATATAGTTAAAAGAATTTGTTTTACAAGTTGCAGAGATTATACCTGACTGTGGCGCAGCTACTTAAAAGCTCCTAAGCAAATGATTTTAGCTCGTGGCGCGGCCACTTAAAAAAAAAACTCTTAAGCAAATGGTCCCAATGTACCTCGCAAGATAAATGAAAGAAAAATACACAAATGAGCGTAGATGTCATTCAGAAAAGAAATGCAGGTAGATAAAAATATAACAAACAAATAATTCATTATTAGCATTTATAAAACATATGCATGTATCATAAAACATAAATTATTCATCAAAGTTTTCCAACACAAGATATAAAGAGAAATTATACATGGGTCACATGACAGTCCACTAACATAGCATGTGCATCTATGCATGAGATGCATAGAAACTTGCCACTACATAATAGGTGGGAAGAATAATCCCAAGGTATATTGAAACTCATTAATATAAGTAAAGGAGATTACATATGAAACATGTTATAAAAGAAGCATGTGAAAATTCATTAACATGAAA